GGGCCTCACCTCGCGGAAGGGGCCTGACCTTGCAGAGGGGGCCTCATCTTGCAGAGGGGGCCTCATCTTGCGGAGGGGGCCTCATCTTGCAGAGGGGGCCTGACCTTGCAGAGGGGGCCTGACCCTGCAGAGGGGGGCCTCACCTTGCGGAGGGGGCCTCATCTTGCGGAGGGGGCCTCACCTTGCAGAGGGGGCCTGACCTTGCATAGGGGGCCTCATCCTGCGGAGGGGGCCTGACCTTGCAGAGGGGGCCTCATCTTGCGGAGGGGGCCTCATCTTGCGGAGGGGGCCTCACCTTGCGGAGGGGGCCTCACCTTGCAGAGGGGGCCTGACCCTGCAGAGGGGGGCCTCACCTTGCGGAGGGGGCCTCATCTTGCGGAGGGGGTCTGACCTTGCGGAGGGGGCCTGACCTTGCGGAAGGGGCCTCATCTTGCGGAGGGGGCCTCACCTTGCGGAGGGGCCCTCATCTTGCGGAGGGGGCCTGACCTTGCGGAGGGGGCCTCATCTTGCAGAGGGGGCCTCACCTTGCGGAGGGTGTCTCAACTGAGCCGAAAATGCGGCGCAATTAGTGTGGTACGGCATGGTTTTGCCACGGCTCTCCCCCCCCCGTCGACGCTCGCGAAACAGAGGGCCTCATCATATAACTTTGCGTGGGGCCTCATGTTGGCCAGGGACGGCCCTGTACTATACTATGACTTTTCTACTGTACCACATAAGATTTGAAATGACATGTTTAGTGTATACTATACCATGACTTGACCAATGAGGCTCACCAAGTAACACCTTACATGTTATTACTTCCTAATAAACCAACATGTAAAGATTTAGTGTTGCCTTTAATCAGAGGCATGCTAGCTTTTCCATCCGTTTCCAGTCTTTATGCTAAGCTAAGCTAACATTGGCAGACATGCACGTGGTATCTAACTTTTCATCTGATCCTCTAAAACTATTGCTTTGAGCCCCAGCGCTTTAAGATTTTAATATGTATTTATGTATTTGTACGCCCTGAGGATCGTTAAAGCTTGATAAACGTCTGCTCAGAGGCTCTGTCCTCTCTCAGTTCCCTCTGGTGTGTTTTTATCAGGTCTTGCTGCCCCTCCCTGATAAATGTAATAGTCTGCTGATTCTCCAGGAGCAGATTTATAAATAGAGACTCGGGGACAAAGTCCTGGCAGCGACGCAGACGCCTCTCCCTCTGTACGGAGCTCCAGTCTGACAGTCCTGGAAGAGCTCTCCTTCCTCCAACTCTGAAACAGCAGCAGCGTGCGTCATTAACTCAGTTACACACCGCTGTGGGTAAAGTGGCTGAACTGGTTTGTCCCCATTGAATCGTTAAAGATCACACACACCCTGTTTCTGATAAAAACAACTTTTTGATGTTTATGCCAAGGATACGTGACGCTCAGCTGTTTTCCTTCAGGATGACGCTCCAGAGGTGGTGTGATATTTAATTTGTAAGATTGAAAAACAGGACAGCACAGATTAATACAATTAAGGATAACATCAAAGATAACAATTAAAAATGATAAATAACTACTACTGTAGATTATTTTTTATTATATGTACAGCACTTTGGCTCGACCAAAAATTGTTTAAAAATGTGCTATATAAATAAAACTTGATTTGATTTCTAAAATAAGAAATTAATTAAAATGAACATGCATACATATTTGGTCATGTGTACATATTATTTACATTATAATAGACTATCAGTAATCTGAAGGTGAAATATGGACTGCAGGAGATTCTCTCACCTTTTTAAACACGGAGAGGAAGTAGAGCTAATAATTAATGATACAAAAAAAATGATGTTTGTTTAATTCCTGGAAAAAGTTATTTAATTTATAACAGTTTTATTCTACCTCTGTCAAAGAGGAAGCTTATCACATTTACTGACGTTTTTAAATATACATTTGGGGGGTGTATACTTTACTTTTCAGGGCTCATTCTTCTTCTATGGTGGATGTTCTGCTTTTACATTATTTGTATCTATTTAGCAAGAGTCTTCGTTGTCCTCACTTAACAGAAAACACTTTTACTTTTTATAAAACAACCTTATTTCTCCCATTTTAGTTAAAATTCCTTAAAGGGGACCTATCATGCAAAATGCACTTTTTTATGTATTTTATACATCAACATGTGTCCCCGGTGTGTCGGGGAAGTCACACAGCGTCAGAAAATAAAACCCTCTCTTTTCCTCCGTACCCACATCTTTTAAGAACGGGGGTACAACCATGGATATATAATAAGAACTGGATACAGCGTGGGAGGCGGGGCCTCGTTCATTCCTATGAGAGTTGCTCATTGGCGCATGAAGACATAATGGCCCAACTTTTGAAAGAGCGAAACGTCACGAAAGTATTCATATATTCATATAATCCGTTTTCATTGTGCGTAAAGGTAAAACTCATGTAGAACTGAACACGTCACATGAACGTGCCGGACGGCGCGGTCCCGCGGGTTAGATCCGCGTTCATAATGCCGAGGAAAATAACTCTCAGAATAACTTTATTAGCACATTTTACAACTTGAGGACCGAATGTTTTTAATAAGGGCTATACACATGTTCATACTGGGTAGTTTATTTAGTTTACGATTTACAGACCATTCTTTCCCCATGTTAGTCAATGGGAAAAAGTCTTTCCGGGCCCAGCGACTGATATGGAAGTGTAGTACCGCCGTTTGGCCACAACGGATATTTTCCTCAGAGCCCGGCGCACTTCCTGGGGGCTTGGGTACAACAAGTGGATACAGATGTGCTGCCGATATGACGTAATTTCGGAAAGGTGGACCCACAGAGAGTCGCTATCAGAAACAATGCCTGACGTGTTTTGGACGTAATGTGGTATTTTTTTACATTAGCTAGCCTCGCTAACACTCAGAGCTAACCTGTACTGGAGAGCATGTGTGTGAAGAAGCAGGAAATAAAAAAAGGAACTCACCTTGTGATAAACCCGCAAGAGAAAAAGCATTTGAGCTCCATACTGTTTCAGAAATAATCCTTGAGGTGGTTTAGAACAGGATGGCGTTTTATCACAGCAGAATTTAACTTTATCTCTGGTAGAATTCTGATCAGGCATTAGCTCCGCCTCCTCTTTTTTTTTTTTTTCAAGTTAAGGACCCAAAATCCGAGTTTCTCTAACAGGGCTGCAAAAGAGGGGTATGAGGGATGTCTGAAATGCATGATCTGTTTGTATTTTGAGCAAAACACATCATAGACATGTTTTTATATATTTGTATATCTGAGACCCATAATATATGCCTAAAATAGCGTGATAGGTGACCTTTAAAGTTCTCATACAAAATGTTTTGCACCCCTTAAACTAGAAATGACCACCTCTTGCTATTCAAATAGTTCTCTCTGGTATTTATAGATTAACCTTTTTAACTTTGCCTTGAATTTAGTGTCAAGTTATATATGTATTATATATTTACACTGCGAGTGTACAGTATATGTTTGTATTGTATTTTATTTTATCTTGTTAAAGTAGATTTTTTTCTCCATTTTATCTTCTAAAATGGAGAAAATGTTTCCAAAACCCCCTGGGATAAATAAAGTACTTCCTGATTCTGATATAAATAAATGAGACTGAGTGAAGTACGGTGGTGGAGATAAAGTATCATGAGTCATCTGCAAATCACTGCAGCTCATTTTCCTGGCACTCCTACAGGAACTCTGACCAGCTTGATTTATAAGTCCTACACACTACTGTATATATTATAGTTTGCACATTTTTACATATTTCTTTGCGCCTTTCATGACACCCAAGGACACCGTACGATTTGTTAAATATTCTAAGAGGTAAAAGCGACAGAACATGATAAAAACCCAAACATACCATCATGGAGAAGACAAGTGGACACAAATGATAGGGAACATTTATTTAATTTTTTATTTCAAAACGTTTTAAACCAAACTCCCCCCTGGGATAAACAAACTATTTCTTAGTATGTTTGTTGGAAATGAAGCAAATAACTTCTCCTCATTTCCCTGTTGAATAACCCTCGTGTGTTTTCCTCCCTCAGCTCTACCTGCAGGCTCGTCTCCAGGTTGAATGGGCGCGGCTGCTCCGACCCACAATGCAGTTCTTCCTGATCGCCGCCTCGGTTTTCACCGGCCTATCGAGGGTGTCGGATTACAAACATCACTGGAGCGACGTGTTGACCGGTCTGCTGCAGGGCGCCATTATGGCTCTGCTGGTGGTGAGTGATCCGCTGACCTCCTGTACTTTACTGAGTATTTCCATTTTCTGCTTTTAAGAGTTTTCTGTTAAAACCCAGAAAACTCATGTCAATTAAATTACAATGACAGAAGAAGAATGAGCCCTGCAAAGTGAAGAATAGATTTGACTCAAGTACAAGATCTGAGTACTTCTACTTTTACTCAAGTACAAAATCAGAGTACTTCTACTTTTACTCAAGTACAAGATCAGAGTTCTTCTACTTTTACTCAAGTACCAGATCAGAGTACTTCTACTTTGACCAGGGTTGCCAACTCTCACGCATCTGTTGTGTGACACACGCTTTCACTCTCAACCTCACGCTCTCACGCTGCCCAAACTATTCTCACGCCAAAAACAAGATGAACCGGCGATCGTTTTTAATTTGTTAGCACTGTACCTGTATGTTTCTGTGCCATGTGATATGTGATCTCAAACAACAACACATCTCTAATAAAGGACAAGTACAAGTATACCCTGCTCAACCAAATCTCAAAAACATTTTAAGAAGGAAAACACTAGTATAAACATGGACATTCAAAATTCACAATTAAATAAATAAATAAATAAAAATAGGCATCTGTGTGACGCTCCTATGATGTGTTCATTTGTGCAATAGCTGCTGGGATAAAGCTGTTTTTCTACCGCTTCGTTCTGCTCTGTTCTGATTGACCTGAATGTTTAATGGTTATCTCGATGATCAAGACAAATGTCTCCTAAGGGAGACAATAAAGCTCTATCTTATCTTATTTACAATGTTGAGTTGACAGCTGCTCAAGCTGTCGATCTGCTCCCTCCCCGCCCCCACCACTCTTAACAACGTTAACAGGCAGCAGAGCAGTGGGAGCCGGTTGGTCAATCCGACCCGTATTGCGCATGCGCAGATCTAAGATCCAGTAGAAATTATAAAAAGTTAAAGTCTGCTGCTTATTGGGCCAAAATAGAGTCAAAGAGTGTGTTAATAATATATTTGGCAGTTTGGAGTAAGTCTGTAGATTTGTGTGTGTGTGTTTCATGTATAGGCCTCTCACGATAATTAATTTAGTTGGATACATTTTCCCAGAAATTATTGCGATAAACGATAATATTGTCGGCACCGTTGTATGACCACTGACATCATGATAATATATATTCAAGTACATCCTTTCAAACTGCTTGTCACATCCTCATGTAAATGGCAATTTATCGAGGTCAGAAAAGTTATGCTAAGGTCCCGCTACTGACACGATAGCAGTCATTTAGTGTTCATATGCGTAATTAAACCCATGGTATAAAAATCTCCCTCCAGCCAGGTACCCAACGTTGGCAACCCTGCTTTTACTCAAGTACAAGATCTGAGTATTTTTAACATACTTATTCTATACCTTTCCGACATACTACACTGACTTTTCCCCCTTCTTTAATTCAGACTAAACTCTGACTTAAAACCCAACTTTTTCATGTTCTTTTTACACATTTCCCTCTCTTTGTCCTTCCTCTCAGGTGTTCTGCGTGTCGGACTTCTTCAAGCCTCGCGTGGCCCCCCGTAGAGAGGAGGATAACCCCCACACCACGCTGCAGGAGACAACCAATGGAAACCACTGTGAGAGTCCCAACTAAGCATCACCTCGAGGGGGAGGAGCTTCTGTCCACAACGCACACCCAGGACCCCTTGCCTTTCATTTCATGCTCAACCTTTTCTCCGTTACCCTGCATGGATTCAAGCTGTGCATCCCAGAAGAAACGTACGGAAGGTTTTAAGACTTTTTAAATCACCTGGAAGAAGGAAAGTGCCGACTACCTGCGAAACGTCGTAGATCGACCATGTGTTTTAGAGATAGTGCAAAGACATGTTTATCTACTGAGCAGGAAGAAGGATCCACTGAGGGGAACCTGTGAATGTACCTGTGCTTTTCACCTGATTTAAGAGCTTTCTGATGTACTGTGACCATTTTTCAGATACTGAATATTGACTTTTTTATTTATTTTCGACATTCTAAAACCATGACTTTTTTCCTCGACATTTGACGTTTTTTCAGATATTCAATTTACCAAACATTGACTTTTTTTCGCAACATTTGACGTTTTTTCAGATTTAACACATTTAGAAAATAGATCGACATTTATTTTCGACATACTAAAACCATGACTTTTTTTCCTCCATTTGTTCAGATATTTACGGAGCCCCTAAAGGGACATGAAAAAAATAACAGAGAGAAGAAAAAAAAAAAGTCAGGATAACGGGTTAGTATCTCATGCGCACGATACTTTCAAATACAATACAAATATTTTTGGTGAGCACGAGAAACTTTCTCGTGCGCACAAGATTTTTTTGGGGAGAAAGTTACCGGTGCGCCAAGGAGGAAGTGAAGCGCACAGGACACAACATTACAGACTCTTATGTTTACGTGGGGAAATGACAGTGCATTATTTGAGATATATTTCGTACTCAGACTTCACTTTAAGGACATTTCGGCCAGGGGTGTGTGGTCAATCCAGGAGGCAGCGGGACGTGTAACTCAGAGAAGATCAGCACCAGCGCTCAAAGAGCTTTTACGCGCCGCCTTCTGTGTTTACCTTCATTGAACAGCTATAAAGAGTGATCACAGGCCATTTTAACTACACACACCTCTACACACACACCGAACTGCCCGATTACTCCCCCTTTTATTAGTTTTATGAAGGAGATCGCCGGTCATCAGGACGCATGATGGGCGGACTGGGACTAAAAATCAGCCCGGGAATCTCACCCTGCCCAGCCGACGTAAACTGTCAACGGGGGTGGGGGGGGCAGTCCGCCACTGGTTCTGAGTGTTTGTTTCCCTATAAAACAGCTGCGGGGGAAGCAGGTACTCTGCGAGTCACGGACATTAATTCATAGATCAAAGCAGACTGGTTTACAAACTCCTGTTTTGCCAATCCGGTGCTTAAACCAATAGCTCTACACCCCTGGCCGAAATGTCCATAAAATTAAGTCTGACTTCAAAATATAGTTTATCTCAAATAATGTATGCTCTGTCATTTCCCCACGTAAACATAACAGTCTGCAATGAAATGGTTGTCTAATGTGTGTTCCACTTCTCCTTGGTGCATCGGTAACTTTCTCAAAAAAAATAAAGTCAGGAAAACGGATTCTTTTTTTTCGTGCGCACGAGAAACGAATCCGTTTTCCTGACTTTATTTTTTTTCTCGCTCCCTTTTTTTTTTTTTCATGTCCCTTTAGGGGCTCCGTAGATATTCAACATACCAAACATTCACTTTTTTTTTTCGCATTTTCAACATTTACTTTTTTCTCTACATACTAAACATCCACTTTTTCAGATTTTGACATACTAGCCATTTACTTTTTTCTTGACATTTCAGATTTTCTACATACTAACCATTGACTTTTTTTTTCTCCAGCATACTCAATTTTGTTTTTACTCATTTTCGACAGCATACTGTAAGGACTTTAAAGATAAGCTATTAGTTGGAGTGCCTTTCGGTCGTTGTTAAGTAAAGGGCTAATCAAAGGAGGTTTGCTTCTAAAGCTGATCCTAAAACTCAACTCCAGATAACTCAAATGAAGCTTTACTCGTATTACGTTTGGTTTAAGAGTTGAGTCCCGTGTTGCCTTCGCTGTCGCGTATATGTAGATCTAATATAATGTACTTTTTGTATGTAAAAAAAAACAACCAATCACCATACAGACTTTTATTGAAAATAAATATGTACAAATGTCTAAAAGGAGAATCAAAGCCATTTCACTTGTTATCATGAACAGATGTATTGTTGTTAAATGAAAGCATGACTTTTTGTTTACCTCCCCAGGCAGATATATCCATATAATGTTGTATTATGAACCACTAATAAACGCATGAATGCTCTGAATGGAAATCACATCCTAATTATGCAATTAAATACAGTATAACAGGACATTTGCAAAGTTCAGGACACATTTTCTGATGGAAAAAAAGCTGAAAAAGAAAGTAATTTCAATGACAAATACATTAAAAAGGCAATTAAACTAACATTTGGGGATTGAATTTCATATTATTTGCCCACAGTGTGAAAAAAAGATAAATCTGTGGTCTTAATCATAACTAAAACTCCTGAGGAGATTAAAGGTAGAGACTGGCAGCGAACACAATGTCCCTCTTGATCTTCGTTATTCCTGCAGAGACAGAAACAAAGAGTTAATGAAGCATTTCAATAAGCAAGGCAAGTTAATGTATACAGCAACAAGGGAATGAGAGGGGATAGCAGTAAATGAATCATAAGATGCTAAGACAACAATAACGGCCCGGCCACACACAGGCATGAAAAAAATCTTTCAAAGCTTCGCCCATTCACTTGAATGGGGTGACGTAGAAGATTTGTAATCTTCGCCGAACTGCATTGTGGGGAGCGGAGCATGGCTTTGCAAGCATCGTGAGCATCTATCGGCATCAAAAGTTGAACAATGTTCAACTTTTGAGGCTCGATGCTTGGCATCAGCCAATCAAATCCCGTTTATGCAAATCCCGCCAGTGCAAGTGCTAGCCAATCAAACCGCGTGCAAGCTGGGAGAGCCAGACCGCAGTTCATTTCCTCATATTCCAAACGAGATATTACGGTAGCAAATCACCCGGTTCTTTACGACCAGAACTATTTACCGGGATACAAACCGGAGGAACCAGGCATGGAGGGAGGTGGCAGAGACAGTGGGTGAAACTAGTGGGTTTTCGCCTGTTTGGAGATTTTATATCCAGTTTACTTCGTTTAAACATTGCTATTGCTTTGTATGTCGGGGACGGGAGATTCATGTGATTGGTTGTTGGTCGCAAAAAATCGCCAAGCTTCAGACACGCCCAGAATCAAGATGGACGGGCCGTAAGACAATGAAAGTAAGGGCCGTAAGCGGGATTTGATTGGCTGACGCCTCCGTCGAAGCTTCAAAAGTAGAACATTGCTCTACGTTTGCAGCGAGCACCGCGAGAGAAGCTACGCTTTGCTCCCACAATGCAGTTCGGCGAAGCGTGAAGTCACCCCATTCAAAGTGAATGGACAGAAGCGTTGAAGCGGCAACGCACGCCGCCGTGTGTATAGGGCCGTAATAAGGGGGATAATGTGCAGCGACTTGGTCATTATGGGGAAAAGAACACCCTTCAGGATGATCAACCAGGCTTCCTAATCTACCAGCACATTTTTTCTCTGGTGTGGGAATGTCTCAGGATGTTGGTGAATTCTTAAAAAACAAAACACCATTTCATTTCGGGTTGAAATGTGTTGTAACGTGCGTTACTGAGAATTGTAACGGGTAGTATATAACTCACATTTAATTAGTAATGCGTTACATTACTGTGTTACAGAAATACATTACTGTAACTCCGTTACTTTTGTAACGCGTTACACCCAACACCGCAGCCTACAACATTGTTTGTCAAGTCTTTTTGAATTTCCTGAATATCGCCAATAAAATGTAATGCCCAATTTGAAAATGTAAAAAAAGAAAACCGATTGACATAAACTCACTAAATGCCAGTGGCAGGTGTTCACCAAGGAATTGTTTCAGTAGTTATAGTTTAATTTCCCAGAATGTTGGAGCATTCCTTTAAACTGTTCCTGACCTAACAGCCACTTTGAGACTTTAAATATTTCCTTGGGGAGTTACCGGAGGCTGTAGAGGACTTTTCCATCGGGGTAAACTCGTAGCATGACGTTGTCAGTGGTGGTGTCATGGGTGAAGGACCTCTTGGAGTGGACGAAGAACATGTCAGGTACCCAGATCTTCTTCACCAGGCGGCCATCGAACGTCATGCTCAGGTTGTTGTTGCTTTTGAAGGCCAGACGTGCATCTTTCCAGTAGTGCCTTAGATACAAGGTCATGGTAAAGTCCTTAAACAAAAAGGCAAAGTCTGTTACAATATAATCTAAACTAACAACAAACATGCTTTTTCTTAATAAACATGTGTTCCAGACATACCATATCGACCTCTGAAATAGCATCCAAACTCTCAACCTGAACATCCACGCCTACAGAGACGGCAGGACCTGGAGAAATAATTTAAGGCAGTTTACAAAGATGCAATGACCTAAATAACAGTAGTGTCTGAGTGTCAAAAACAAGCTGTGACAGTGGAAGTGCAGATGTAGCTATGTTCCTGTCTGGATTATCTGTGTTTATTTGGAAGTTGTGACTCCTTTTTTGGTGCTGACCCTTTTGCTTAAAACAATGACTTTATCTAAATCCAGAGCAGCTGGGTGCAGATTTTCCAAACACTGGCACAGAGCCAGCGGAGTGAGTACTCTTATCCTAATTGTTGTTGTAGTGCATGCTGGGGATTCAAATCATTTTACTTTTTTAAACAGGCCTACAGTTGTTCTAAAATGTAGAATGGAAAATCAAAAAATCATGAACCATTTTTAAAATCCTGCTGATGAATTAGTTATTAGACTGGGGGTTTTGTTACCGTGAATAATTTCCTTGTTCAGAGTACAGGTCTTACTTGAGTCGTGACTTGAGTTATTGAATCACCTTATTGTATTTTCAAAAATAATAACTATACTTTACATGGCTACATCACACTCAGCTGTGTTGATTGGATAACAGGACAGCATCTGTCATTTTTATAAATTCTTTAAAAACAATACATGTTTACATATTAATGCAAGTTACTTACTTTTATGGAATAGTTTTACTTTTATCCATGATGACAATAGTTCCATCAGGAGAATTATTCTGCTTAGAGAAAGATTTGTATTGACGTGTGCACGAGATGATAGAAATGTGAATAGTCTTTGGCGATAAGACCCCGATTGTCTTATCATATATCTTAAGGGGGAAATGAATCAGTAAGTAGAATAAGATGTTGATGGGATTGGATTTGAAGAAGAGATGGGAAGAGGATGCTGAAGATCTGGATTTGATAAGGAGTTCTGATACGGAGAGTGGAGGTGGATGGGAGGAGGGGAGCCGCAGCCTTAGCGCCTGAAATGACAGGAGAACAGATTTAAAGTTTGATAGCAGCGTGATGATTGGCTGTTGGAGATTGTGGCGAACTGTAGTTGGTTAAGAGTGGACGCCTGTAATCAGCTGATTAGATCCAACTGAGGAGTGAGTGAATGTAAAGCCGGTCTTCCTGACTGAACTTACACTTTATCTTTATTTACCGTTATTTACAGTAAAAAACTCTTATATAACCTGATCAAAACTGCCTAACCTTGACAGAATTAATCAAAACCAAGATCTTTCCCCATAGTAACGCAAAGGTGTTCAGAAAGGTGTTCAGATCCATCCCAGTGCCTTCATTAAAAGGTAGGACAAAACACCTGACATCATAGCTGGTTCCAGTCACTGGAACGTTGGCTTACGTATTGTAACCATTGTTATATTAGCACAGGTGAAGCCCTCTACTGGACTCTATGGGTACTTCCCTCTATGCAAGCATTCACCTACTGAGATTTCTATAGATGTAGCCGGCCCCGGCACAGACAGTGCCCTGAGTAGAGGGCTTCGCCAGTGCTAATATAACAAGGGTTACAAT